ACAGAATCAGTAAATTTACTAAGCAAATTACTACTCGTATATCAAAAACTCTATGACATTAAAACCATGTCTTTCGTTAATCTAGACACAGAAACATCTTGTCGGACAACTGATTCATAATGATGACCATAGAACTCGTAGCGTTCCATTTCAGTCATTCTTCCTCTTAACACTGTTGGAGAAGTTTTTGCAACCGGAATGCATTCCTGTTAATGAAGACCATATAATTTTACATGCACGCGCTTAACGTATAACCATAGAAATTTAAATGCCATACGATACGACACAGGGCATGTTACTACAGCGAAATAGGATGTTGACAATGGGACAACTGAAGTGATCAATTTGTTATAAGTCTTTGTTTGAAGTATTTAATCTTTGTTAATTTCAAGAAAAGAACCATGATATGAAGCATAATTTCTCTATTCGGTAGTATCTTTAATTTAAACTTTCGTTTGAGTAAATACTTGAATTTTTTGTACATGTATATCCGGAGCACTTACTACAATGAAATTTAAACCAGCTCAAATATCCGTACCTAATATGTTGTTGATATTTTACCAAATAGTATATCTTTATCGTATTTGTCACTGAATATCAATAGCAGTGGTTTTTCGGGGTTTTTTTTGGGGGTTTTTTTTTGGGGGGGGGGGAGGGGGGGGGGTGCTATATTCATTCCTTAAGTAAGAGAATTTTGCAGATACGTTTAGGAAAATACCAAAAAGGTTAATTTCAAAACATTTTACAGGTCATTATATCAAGTCATCGAGAAATTTTTTTTTTACAGATTTGTAAGTTCTGAGTCACATTTCACCAAAATCAATTAATTAATTTTGTCCAAATTTTAAGCCATAAGTCCAGTAGTCAGTAATTTTGTGCTAACATAAAATTTCATTGATATTGATTATATCGTTGTACGCTTCAATATATGAGTTATTGCCTCTCAATGAAGATGTTTTTCTGTTCTACTCCCCTCCTCCTAGTTTGGCTGGATAGATACAATGTAACCCTGATGTGGACTACGTTATTTAATGCAAAATTAAATGCAAAGAGAAAAATTAGGAAACAAATGCTAAAATTTACGCTTAAAAAATCAAATATAAATCAAAATCAAATATATAAAATTTGAAAACTGAATATTAGAGTTGTTATCCATTCGTTTGATGTGTTTGAGCTTTTGATTTTGCCATTTGATTAGGGACTTTCCGTTTTCAATTTCATCGGAGTTCGGTATTTTTGTTCTTTTACTTATTTAGACAATTATGAACTCAACTGAAGATTATACATCACTAAATGAAGTTTATTGATTGGTTGTTCCCCTAATATCCAGTGGCAAATATGTCATGCATATTCACGACGAGATGCAAAGTGGATCGAACTTAAGCAAATGATTTTAGAGTAACATTTTAATAAGATAGCGCGTTGACTAGAAACTAAAACGTATGCCGAAATAGAATAAAGTTGAACCATGATCAAAATCGTAAGTTAAGCTATCCCCCCTCTTTTTTCTTCACGGAAGACGAATGCCGAAAACAAAACGACATGAATTTACAGTCAATAACGGCCATTTTAGGTAAATGAGATATGGACTTATTTTGTAAATAAATTCCTATTGCAGCCAACATTTCCTGGTTTCGGACAGGTTTGTATTTCCACTCAAATACCGTCTGATTATTGACTTCAGATATTAAATTAACTAACAACACTTTGATTCTCTGAAATTGTAAATTATGCTGTCTGTTTTCCCGATCGTATTTTGGACCCCCTGATTCTAATAGGGCGTGTCTAATTAGTCATGCCCGATTAACATTTCGTACATTGAACCTCAACGTAAAGACCTACATCTGGTTAATAAGTTCGAGGTACAATAAGTAAACAAAAGAGATCAATTATGAAATGAGATCGTCCAAGGTATCTTAGATAATCATTTTGTGTTGTATAACAATGAAAAATGCACGAAGATGTTGGTAATAGAAATAATTAAATGATTTATGAGGAGAAATGTAGCTAAGGTTTTAGTTGCTGCAGAATTTTCTTAAAGAGGATGTCGAGACAGATTTACAACGTTAAAAATAAACCAAAATCATCTTCTTTTATTTGTGCCGTTTCAACAAAATAAGAAAAAAGTATATTGACCTTTGTCAAAAACATAAAGTGTTTTTGCTTAATGAAATTTCAACTGTTCAATTGCATTTAAGATGCAATAAGACAAATAACAACACACTATTTAAGTTGATTATTATAACAGGTCTGATATCAACCGCACCAACCATAAAAAGATATATTCAAATAAGGAAAATGTCAATGACACCAATAAACAAAAGACGTCTTATCATATTTCCTGAAAAGAGTCTTTAGTCTGATACTTGTTGAATGGGTTTTCCATAACCTGTTCTCGTCTTTTCCATCAATTTGTTAACTCTCGTGAAACAAGTAATATGAATTTTCCGATAAGTAGCATTCACTGAAACATTCATTTTTATTTTACTTTTATTATTACATGAATACTTATAACAAAAGTTACGATAATCATTTTTTTTATCCAAAAAGGGAGGAATATCCAGTCAAAGATTTCTTTTATACAATATAGTATGTGACGGAGAATTCTTTCTCACAAATATTCATTTTCAATCATTGCTAGCAACGATTGTCCATTTTTCTAGACAATGCAGCCTGGATATTTATTTTATTTTTTTCATGCATACCTATTTCCACCAATTGTGAGTCGGAATATTTATTTTCAAGTTGCATTTGACAAGATTATTTGTTTTTGTCGGTTCATTCATTTTTAAAATCTCTTGTACCCTCCCCATACCATCGACTGAAATGTTTCTCTTTCAGATATGATCATGAATCTAAGGTAATTGTCTTTTTGGGTATCTGTATTTTGAATAATATCAGTGAAATAAGTCATGTGTACACAAAAAAACCGGATCATCAGTACCACGTTATCATTTGTAGGTTAGTTTGTCGTTATAAACTTGTCAACAAAAAGCATTTTAAAAGGTTTGAATTGAAATGTGTTTTTAAGTATGATTAAAATTGACATGACTTAAAGTAATAAAATGCTCTAAAACTAAATGGTTCTAAGACAATGTAAGAATGGACATAAAATCACAAGGGTTGCTTCTAGAGTAAATTTTGAATGAACTCCCTACATAGGCTTTGAGAATCATCTGGTGACCTTAGGCTTTTTTTTTAATAAAGTTGTAAAAACAACCCAGTCAGTAGGCGTAACGCACAAAATATAACATTCATTTAAACAGCAATTGAACACTGATATCTAGGCCGTTTTGTAATTGTAATTTGCAGAACGTAAAACATTCTCGTTTGAAGTTTTGATCTTCACATGTCTGAAATTTTGCAGAAAACAATCCCATTCCAGTTTTTGTTCGAGATGATGATACTTTATTCCTTAGTTGTCCTGGTGAAAAACAGAATGATTATGTGTCATGGTTTGGACCGCCCAATCTATTACTTTACAGCCAAAAGAAACAGGTCAACAGTTTTCTTCGGAAAAGGAATAGAGTTGCTGTAATATCCTTACCAACCAAAGGCAAATACTGTCTTCAAATAGAAAATTTTTCCGTCAAGGACACAGGAGTTTACAGATGTACTACGATAAACGATAATATTCCGAATGAGCAGTATGATTACAATGTTCAGCTAGCAGGTACACTTTACACAACATTCATTTATAAATGGTTACTCGTTAAATACAAAATCAAATCATACGAGAGGGAAAGCATTCCTCTCTCTCTCTCTCTCTCTCTCTCTCTCTCTCTCTCTCTCTCTCTCTCTCTCTCTCTCTCTCTCTCTCGCTAGATCTAACCCTCGAACTAAAATTAAAGACAATTAGATAGACGCAACAATTATTAATTACGTGATAACTGGAATTGTCGTTTGTCGATAAAAATTATCATTTGAAGCATTTTAGATCAATAAAATCATTTATTTCTAACAATATAGAAGAGGCTATATTTATGCTTTTGTTAGTTTATTTATTTGCTTAATTATTGTGTATTATTTATTTATTTTTTAGAGATCCCATCAAATGTCACAATTTTGCAGCAATCAGATTTTGGTAAAATAACTGGTGTGGAGAATCATGAATTAAATCTAACATGCACAGTTGCACCAGGTAAGCCAAGATTCCAAAATGAAACCATTTCCTGGACATATGGTGGACACCCATTACTGAAAGGACCATTTGATTCGTTGACATATCGCATTTACCCAACACTAAGCAGCCACATGCATTTTTACAGATGTATTGTGTACAGTCCATTGTTGAGAAGTCCTGTCATCAAAACGGTCCAGTTGAATGTTTTGTGTAAGTAGTACTAAGGGGGATGTAGAAGCCGTGTGAGTTCATCCGTGTTTGAAACGATCGTTATCCTAGTTGTATAAGAAGTAAACAAGATAGCCGCTTTATGCATACAAATTTGAAAATTGTACTTTTCAGACGTGTTTATGATGCCAGCTAATTTGTTATATAATGTTACCTGTGTACCAATTTGAGTTTTGTTCCGGTTGAGTACCATTTGTCCTCTTAAACAAATTGTGAGAAAATGATAAAGTACTTGTGAAAATATTCAAAACCAAGGCATATTGAATTTCTACATTACAAATCCATTAATACAGTTTTGTCTGTGTGTAACCCTGGTACAAATTACTCCCATATGAATTCCAAGAAATGTACGTTTAACCGTTAGACTTCAGGCGGTGGTGTTTTTATTGCTATTATTGGTGTACATTTAACAAAAGAAGATGTAGATGGCATTTGCATCAGAATAACTATAATATTATGCAGTTTTGTACATGATATTCCTAATGTATACATAGGTAAATATACACGTTCTCAGTGTATAGATGAATGCATTCTGAATATTTGTAAGTAAATACTTCCATGAATTTCAAATAATTATTCTCATTCATTTTCAAAACTTCGTTTAGAGTTTGACCTTTAAACTGGATATATTTCATCGTTTTAGATAGACCAAAGACAAGATTGAACTCAAACTCAACCATTCAAATAGTAGAAGGAAAGCACTCAACTGTAGAATGTTTCTCAGACAGCAATCCCCCAATTATAGAAATATTCTGGCGTTTACCAAATAAAACCATAGTATATAAAAACAGCGGTAGCACTAGTCATTTGGTTTTAATAGCTGTAAATAGGAGACAAGAAGGTTATTATGAATGTATATCGATGAATATGGTTGGAGCTGGAAAGGCAGGACTTCATCTTGAAGTGCAATGTAAGTTGTATGTTGCCAAATAACAATATGATTCTTATCAAACTATACTCGGGAAATATTCTGCATAAATACATTATTTATGTTATGCAACCCATATTTTCTTCGACAAGTTTTGTGTGACAATAAGTTATGTTATGTACTGAAAAGAAAATGGGGAAGTTTAATACCATGAAAAACGTAAGATATAGTTACCAAAAGTATAAACTATTTTTAATCTTACAAAAATATGAGTTCTTTATGCATACGATAATTGCTCATGACATATTTTATTCACAATGTGTGTTTACGGAAATGTACAATGGCTCAAATTATCTAATATATGTAGCATACAAAACTTATCTATGCTGCTAGAACATACAACTTATTATTTTATTACAGATCCACCAAGTGTAATGATCATTCATGATAATTTTACAATTAACAAAGAACTTAGAATTCTTGAATGTAAACCTGATGGATTTCCAAATGTTTATCACTTTGACAGATGGGAGCACAAGTCTTTTTTCGGAGACCATATTCGCTATTTAAATGCCAATAATGGTATTCTTATTCTCCCTAATGTGAAAAGTAAAATCGAAAGATATCAGGATAGCGGTGTCTATTTATGCGCAGTAAATAACGGTATTCCAGATCAAAATGGTGATATCAACCAGCAAGGACAAACAAGCGTCAGTGTCAAAGGTAAAGTAAGCATAGTGTTAAAATCTTAAAGACACAAAGAAACAAACAATTCGATAGAGAATAATTATCTGTTCATACAAAACACTTCTTTTTCAACTATTCCTAGAGCTTTAAATAGAAAAATGTTATTAAATTGACCATTTTGCAAATATGGTGGCATCTAGCCTTTACTAGATTTTCTCTTTGAATAAAATAGTAGAAACTGGTATACATCTAGCTACCAATGGAAAAATATGAAATATTTTATAAAATTCTACGGCCAGCTATCTCATGAAATATTGCAGTTATCAAAGTATTTGGAGTGCGTTTACACTTCTTCAAAGTTGTTGGAAGGGTTGTTACAATGAGCTGAAATACTTACCATCATAAGAAAATAAAGACGGTCCTTGAATTCACAAATGATGTCAAAAGAAACTATAAAGAATATTTGTAAGAAGTTTTATAGGAATAACATGTTTGCAGTTTAGTGTTATAATCGCAAATCAACTGACTTGTCTGATATTTTACCTTGTTTATCTATATATTGCATAACCACTATAGTTGAATTTTTTCAGGACTGCCAGTATTTGTCGAATCAAATGAACCATTTCAAAAGGGGAAAATGGATAATTTTGCATTTTTGACCGTTCATATAATAAGCAATCCAAAGTATGACGATGTGTTTTGTTCAACCAGTAACTGGAAACTTTCGTTAAAGAATAACCCAAACATTTTTAATGAGGAAGAATCGATCATCAGAGACATTTTCCATAATAATGAAATATTAGTTCATGGTTTTACAGTAACATTCAAAACAGTTAGAATGAAGAAAAATAATTTTCATAACTACACGGTTACAGCCGTAAACAAGTATGGCTCAGCATCCTATAATATTTGTTTGGTGGAGAATGTAAAGAAACAAGAACAGCTAACAGGTAATGAGTGTCTAAAATATATATCGTCGAGCATTTTGTTCCATTATTTCATTCAATAGTTACTATGTGAGCTAAGTGTACATTTGTAAAAACATTTAGAACGAGTAGTTCTATATTCGATGATTGAAAGTTATTCAAAGCCGAATTAAAACTTTGCACTTATGCAATTTGTGAAGTTCGAAATTCTCAAACCCAACTAAAAATAGACGTTTAAAGGTTTGTTAAATAGTTCTGGTTTTCAAAATCAAACCATTGCATACTTCTTTTAAAACTCATTATTTTGAAGCATTTTGTTCAATCGTTTACAAATGTAATATATTCATTTCCTCATAAATTTTTACCACATCAAAACTTTATTTCATGATTGATTGGTGTTTGATTTACGCCACACTAGAAAGTGTATTTCAATTATTATTTACGACTGAATGCATATTGTGTAAAATTACCAATATGGCTAGGAACTTGTTTAGAAAATCTGCAAGGAAAATGACTTAGCAATTTAGAATAAATATATCTAGTTGTTTTATAAATTACTAATTTTTTGTCTAAATAATGTTTGCTCTGATTTCTTGTTATCATTTTACAGATATTCAGGGACCCGTTATTTTCTTGATATCTGCAGGTGCAATTTTATCATCGATAATTGTAAATCTGTGTATCATGGTATTATACAGAAGATGTAAACGAAGACGTTCAATCCAATCATCAAATGAGGTGCAATTTCATTACGACGAAATAAACGAAAGTGAACAAGTCAATATCAGTCATATGTTACAAAACCAAAGAAGCAATATTCAAGAGCCACCGTCTGTAAATATTATACGCTCATTCTCTTCAAATTTTAGTTCTTCATCTTCATCTAAAAGTGAGCATGTATATCTTGATCCCTACACCTCATTTATACAGAGTGAAAATTATATAACTTTGGGCATTATGAAAATGCAAACTCCATGTACAATACGTGATAAAATAAATCCGTTCTTTTCTTTGACGTGCGTAGCGGCTGAGAATAAATTTAAGTGTACACAAAAAGGAAACTGGAAATCGAGTCGCCAGTATCGCAGTGCTGAATTTTGATGCGTGTTTTTCTCTCTTCTTATTGTTGACAATTCTACCAGACAATATATTTTATTTGCATAGTGTGTAGTGCACAGTTTACATATTGCAATTTTTACCATTAGCAGGCAGTAAACATCGAACTATCCGTGCCAAAACGAAAAATCAAATATAATGCTAGAATACAATATAAGAACGATAAATCAATAACCAATTAAAAGCTTGTGTGATATTTGAGTGGGTTAAACATATCTAGTTTCGCATTCGTTTTTCTTACCGGTATTTGAGAAGGGTACTTCATCTGAAAAAGAGCATGACAAAATTGAGGGAGCTGTATCAATTGTGATACGCCATCAACCGATTCGAAATGGAGACCGTTTATCTTTTGATGATTACATATACAGTTTAGAATAAAAACTTAAGATATTAATAACAGTTTTGTTTTTTTCGAAGATGACTTTGGTCACAATCCCTTATCAAAGAATTGTTGTGTCACTGAATTCAATATAAACATTACAACCATTTGGTGACAACAATTTTGAATCGTAAGTTACGGCCAAGGTTTTTCTGAAGCTTTTAGTTTGAAATAAATTCACAAGATCATCTTGTTTTGATAAAATATCTAAAAAGTGCTAACTTTTGAAAATAAGATTAATTATTACAAAGAGATTTGTTTTATTAACATTAAGATCTATTTAAGGACTAATCTGTGTCCTTTGAGCTGTTCAATGATAAAGTTGAAATGCAAGGCAAAATGTTGGCAAAAATGAACCTGTTCCTTTGACTTATGTCTGGTTATTTTCAAATCGACAGATGTCCGCAGCAACAGGCATTCTTAGAGATTCAGTTAAAATGAAAATGTCATAGTTATATTGTTTTACCTTTTGGAATTACAAACAGTGCGTTCAATGTTACCAAATAGTTAAGGCTGCTTGTAAAATTGAAAAATAGAATTGGGTGAGCCTGGCTTACTATTCTATAGAGGTACTGACACGAGGAGGGAGTTTGGCCAGAATGCAAGGCTAGAACTAGGTAAGATAAACCCATTGCAGAATATAAATCATGAGAAATCTTTTCGATTTAAAGTTCTGGTTAAACAAATTAATAAATCATTTCAATACAGTAAATCGTCTGCTTTTATCTACTAGGATGACAATTAAGTGGTCAATGGTGCTAATACAAAATTTGTTATAAGATCTAAAGTTAAAGTGAACTGACAGAAAGCTTTAAGCAGCTCTTTTTTCTTTTAAAAATGTCTTTCTCAGGAAAAGCTATAACGTGGTTTACTGATGATCAAAATTGTGTGAAATTGTAACTTTGGGGAGTATGATAAGAAAACCTTTACATAATGGCAAAAGCGCACCTTAACAAAATATGAAAATAAGAAGATGTGGTATGATTTCTAAAGTTTTCTATCGACAAATTGATGCTCCGGAAAGGTAAGCAGTTCGATTAGTGGCATCTGATATGTTGTTCGTGGAAAGTAAAACTTAGGATATAAGAGGATGGTAAGGTGGCTTTTATAACCATCCAATAGACCTGGCCATCTGTGACTATAACTGTGAAAATAAAAGTAACAAGGTTCCAATGTTCCCCGCTTTACACATATTTTATCTAACCACTTTTTTTGTTCTTTAAACTTTTTATAAATATCTTAGAGAAATGAAGGCTTCAGAAGCATATTCAGTGCGATTTCCGTTAATATTAAAATTTCCAAGGGGCATAACTCGTTAAAAATATTTGAACAGCACTGATTTTCTAAAGTGTCAAAGACATTGCTGATATAAACCAATGTTATAAGTTTCATAAAATGCTGGCAAGAATTATACACATGAGATATCTAACAATGCAATTTTCCATATAATCAATATTTCAAAGGGCATAACTCTTTTAAAAATAATTGATCGGCATTGATTTTTTAATGTGTCCGATATCTGGCAAGAATTGCAGAGACGGATCCAGGATTTTAGGTTATTGGGAGCAAACTTGAATTATCGCCGAGCGGAGCGAGACGAAAATTATTTTGAGGTAAAATTATCGAAATATTCTTTATTAAGCTGAGGACAACCCATGCTTTGCAAATTTTGGGGAAAGGCGCACGCCCGCCACGCCCCCGACTGAATACGTCCCTGAATTGTACACATCAGAGCGCTCCTCAGAAAATTTTCTATACAATTTATTATTTTCAAGGGGCATAACTCTTTTAAGATATTTGATCAGCATTGAATTTCGAATTTGTCAAAGACATGATATAAGTTTGAAAAAGTTTTGGCTAGAATCATACACATAAGGGCGCTAACAATGCAAATTTCCATATAATTAACGTTTCCAAGGGCATAACTCTCAAAAATAATTGATTTTCATACTCGTCCAAGACATTGCTGATATAAACTTATGATATAAGTTTCATAAAAATCTGGCATGAATTGTTCAAATGAGCGTGCTAACGATGCAATTTCCATATAATTAATGTTTCCAAGGGGCATAACTCTTTTAAAAATATTTGATCAGCACTGATTTTTAAACTCGTCCAAGACATTGTTGAAATAAACCTATGATATAAGTTTCATAAAACCTGGCAAAAATTGTACACGTGAGAGCACTAACAAGGACGGACGGACGGACACACGAACAGAGGGAGGGACGGACGGACGGACGTACACACGAATAGAGGGACGGACGGACGGACGCAGGGTATTTCTATTTCCCCCGCAATGCGTTGCACGGGGGACAAAAACCTTCCGAGTGGATTAAAGCAACTTTACCAATTTTAACGGGAAAACTAAGAGCAATAACTCCTATAAGAAGACAACTGGCAACTTCGTCTTTACTGACCTATATTTTTTGCTATTTAAAGTTTTCTCTATCTTTTATAATTTTTAGGATAATACTAGGTAAAAATGAAAAAACAAAAAATTCGTCTTTTGAGGGTAATAACTCCATTAAGATGTCGTCTGACAGTTATGATGTAAATGGACAGTAGGTAGATTTCAACATTCTTAATATTTCTGCCCTGTTAGATTTTCTAGATCTATGACAGTTTCATGATAATTCAGAAAAATGCATTTAACCCCTATGTGCTATTTTTAGCCATGTTGGTTGGAAGGCATGGTCATCGCAAATTTTCTAAATTATGGACCCAAATGATGATTGTGACCAAGTTTAGTTCCAATTAACCTAGCAGATTTAAAAGTTAACGGACATCAGATGACTACCACGACAGAAGAGAACAGACAATGAAAGCCAAGTGATGGGAAAAGCTTACATTGGCTCTCTGGGCAAGGTGAGCTAAAATGATATGATATTCAAATGTCTCAATGCACACGAGATAATTGTTAAAGAAAGAGAACCAAGAAGCATAAGTTCATCTGAATATATATCAACATGTAACTGGTTTGTGATCCTATAGCGTGGTCCTTAAACAGTAATGTATATTCTTGTGGTATACCACATCTCCTTATTTTCATAGTATTATCTATATCATGAGTACTGCAGAAGGTGGTATGATGAGACAACTATCCACCAAAGCTCAAATTAAGTGGGTATAAGCAATTATAGGCAACCGTACGGCCTTCAACAATGGCCTTTTGCCTTATATCTTGAAACCAATAATGATCTAGATACTAATTTGTGCCCTGGCTTTTTAATTGATACTATTAAAGAAAGACTTGTAGGTACAAAATCAAGGCTAGGTAATCATGGTAATGGTCATTTAGCATCATATTTTGTCTGATAACGGTTTTATAACATTCATGGACAATAAGTGCAGCATTTAAACATGATATGTTCCATTTACTTCATATACAGGAACTGTTGGAACGTTGCTACACAAAAATAAAAGTTTACAATTAGATAAACTGCTGACACAGAGACATGTCTTGCCTGTCGGCATAAAATAAAACAAAATCGGATGAACATTGCGATTTAATTCAAAGAAGCTGGACCGTGAACTAGTGAGCAGGGCATCGAAATGGTCAACAAACTGAGATACACAGACAGTAATGTTACTGTATTGTAATTATCGTTGTCTATTGTAAGTAGTTCCTATCAAAATAGCTCAAGCAGAAAACTTAACATTGAAAATTGGAAGTTAATTGAATGTCACTGGATCCTGACGGGGAAGAGCCTTGAAATAGTCGTCAAACTGATATGTACTGATAGCTATGCAACTTTATAGAAAATATAATTGATCTATCAAAAGTAGTTCCTACCAACTGACTCAAGCAGGAAACTTAACATTGAAAATTGCTAATTAATTCAAAGTCTATGGACCATGACCTAGGGGACAGGGCCTCAACATAGTCGCCAAACTGATATGTACTGATAGTAACTTCATAAAAGATATCATTGATCTATCGCAATAGTTCCTATCAAACTAACTTTAGCAGAAAACTTAACAATGTTTATCGTTGACGACAATGTCGTCGTCGCCGGAAAAGCAACACCCATGTCTTTCCTTTCTAATCTAATCTAACTTATCTTTAAACCCCCTTTGTAGAGGAACCCTATATTCATATGTAGAACAGGTGCTCTCTTTATATACAGTGCTGGTACTCCCTCCACCATTGAACATTTAATCATATTTTCTGTGCAGCTCAGGTGCTGTCTATATAAATGTACAATGCTGTTACTCCCTCCACCATTCGATATCTGATGTGCACATATTAACAGTTATATCCTACACCAACACAATTTGCATAAGATCATTTATTATAAAGTTTATTTCATTTGATTTCAGAAATTTGTGTCGTTCCCCCAACCAAACTCTTAAGATGTTAAGATAACGGAATCGCTTATTTTATTGTCACTTCGCACTAGATTTATTACTGTCCACATTCCAACTTGTACCGGGTTATATGCAGTTGACATAGCAGTCGTCGAGTAAGGCGTTCTATGTGTACTACACTGACTAGAGAGTTTCTTTGTTTTCGGTACCGGCGTTAAGGTAGATAGGGTGTCTTCCTCCATCTTGGATTTTGAAATACCAGAAAGCAATCGGTCTAGATCTTTAATGAAAGGTGCAAATTTTGAGAGTAGTAGGTAATTCATGTGTAAGAATTTTCATTTCTATATAGAAAATGACATATTTTATCATATTTATGGTTGTATTTTACAAAACAACAGAATACTTTGTTTGATTCTATTTTTTTCCAACGTTGCCACATAAGGAGAGGCAACTCAAATGAAAGGGCAGATAATTCAGATAGAGTTACTTTTACAATAGAATGTGTTAGGAATTTACCTATTTTATTATGAAGCAAGAAAACGGGTCCCGTGACCCCCTGTTTTCTTTTTCTTATCTGAAAGCATACTACTAGAGCTATCTTCTCATATTTTATCTCAAAATTCTATGGTGTAGTTTTTGTTTT